CCATGGGTCAATAAGGGGTACTCTACTTAAACTCTTACCAAATAAGGAACCATCCACCTTTCTGCATCAAATAATGAATGGTGAGCATTCAGTCCTGGGAGAACCTTTAAAAAGTACTGACTACATCTACTCTCTCCACCATGGTGATGCTTCTTGCCTTTTTGAATGCTTGACTGGGGAAATGGCAGCCGATGCCAAGGGTGGCCAGCCCTCTGAAGTGGCCCTGGCACTTTTCTCTCTCTGCAGAATGACCCTTGGCTTATCTGAGTTATATCATAATCCAGTGGTTCTCAACCTATGGTCCCCGGATGTTTTTGGCCTACAACTCCCAGAAATCCCAACAGCTGATAAACTGGCTGAGATTTCTGGGAGTTGTAGGCCAAAAACATCTGGGGACCCCAGGTTGAGAACCACTGTTAATCCATAATTTTGGCCCAAATCCTGCCCTTCACATACATAAGTCAATTTATATGTGGCTATATATGATAATCCTCCCAGCCAGTGCATCCTTTCTAAATAATCTAGAAAACCGATCTCACAACCTCTGAGGATGCCTGCCATCGATGCAGGCGAAACGTCAGGAGAGAATGCTTCTGGAACATGGTCATACAGCTGTAAAAACTCACAACAACCCAGTGATATGGAAAAAATGGTGCAACTAGCCGTGTTATTTGTTCCCACTGTTAGCAGCTTCCCAAAGTTGCAGTAGGATCTTAAAAATAGATCATATTAATGTAAGATTCTAAGGTTAAGTTAGAAGTATTTAAATCCAAAGCTTGTTCTGTACCACTAAGCTGTGGGACAGTAGTGTCACAGGAATGCCACTCTCTCAATAGCATTGTCATATGGTTCCCTTATTTTATAGTACTGTGAGTGTCCTAAGCTTCGAGCAAGTGAGGCTGCAGTGCCAGATTGCAACATGGGTTGCTCTAGAAACCATCTGTAACAATGTTACAATTTCACCTGCAATATCAAAGGGGGCAGGATGGATTTTTATTTTTACTTTTTACAATAACTACACTGCACATTTGCCATATATAAGTTACAAAGCGCTCTCAGTACAGAGTTACGTGTGTAGTACATATGTTAGAGAAATTATTTGGCTCGCTGTCTTCTTGCATAATATTTTACTTGTGACATTTCCTGCATCTGCCATCACACATTGTCGTCACTTGGAAGATTTCAGTGCTGGAAGCTTGTAAAATAGCTTTCCCCATATGACTGACCAGACGATTTAAAAACTTCGCTTTAATGTGGTATTTTAGAACATTGGTTTAATTGATGCCCAGTTCCACTTTATTTTTCCCCCTGGAAGATGGCTCTTGGGAGTGTACCAATAGGCAGCTTATCCAAAGATAATCATGTGAGCAGAGACTAGATTTGTGGAAGAATCCAGATCATGGGATCACCCAATTTCATGAATAACTTTCCCTAATTTACCGCCTTCATGTGTTTCTGGAGATATTAAAGAAAGATCAAATTCTATGACAGAGAAGTATTTTATGGGCTAAAGTCGACATTATCCTGACTTGTTGCTATTTGCCAAGAACCAGTTTTTGTAGGACAAAGGAAAGAAAAAAACTGAGGCTGTTTAAATCTTTTTCCTTCCTCCTCTCTGTTTACCTGTTCCAAATTGCTCCATTCCTCACCCAATCGAAGCCCAATAGGAGCCCCCATTGGCCCAATGGGTTAAACCTTCATGCTGGCAGGACTGAAGATCAACAGGTCAGAGGTTTGAATTTGGGGAGAGCGTGGATGTGCTCCCTCTGTCAGCTCCAGCTCCCCATGCGGGGACATGAGAGAAGCCTCCCACAAGGATGGTAAAGCATCAAAACATCCAGGCGTCCCCTGGACAATGTCCTTGCAGGCGGCCAATTCTTTCACACCAGAAACAACTTGCAGTTTCTCAAGTTGTTCCTGACACGAGAAAAAAACCCTGCTCAATTACTTTCTTCCCATGGGGACTCAATATCTTTTCTGATGTTCTTGAAAAAACAGAAGAAAAAGAACAGCAGACAGGAAAAGGGAAAACACCACCTTCCTTCTGCTACACTTCCTTCTATGACAGAGTCACCAGGGAAGGTAAGTGTCTGGTAACCCGGAGTTTATCTGGGCTGGTAAACCAGAGTGTATTGACACTGTAGAATACAATTTGACATCACTTGAACTGCCATTGCTCTATGCCAGGGGTCCACAAACTTTTTAAACAGAGGGCCAGGTCACAGGTCCACAAACTGTTGGAGGGCCGGATTATAATTTGAAAAAAAAAATGAATTCCTATGCACGTTGCACATATCTTATTTGTAGTGTAAAAAAACACTTAAAAACAATACAATAATTAAAATGAGGAACAATGTTAACAAATATAAATTTATTCGTATTTCAGTGGGAAATGTGGGCCTGCTTCTGGCTGATGATAGTGCTGATGTGGTCTATCTAATGTTGTTGTTGTTGTTGTTGTGTGCTTTCAAGTAATTTCAGACTTAGATTGACCCTGAGCGAGGGCCGGGTAAATGACCTTGGAGGGCCGCATCAGGCCCCCGGGCCTTAGTTTGAGGACCCCTGGTCTATGCCATGGAATCCTGTGAGATCGTAGTTGTGTGAGGCACAGGCACTCTTTGGCAGAGAAGGCTAAAGGTCTTGTAAAACTTCAACTCCCATTGAAATGCAGCAGTTATAGTGGTCTCAAACTGCATTAATTCTACAGTGAAGATGCATCCTGTCTGCACTTTAATCCTAACTTTAAAGGAGTTATATGATGTGCACAGCCTATTTGGGAGATGAGCTTCATCACCTTGGGCCCAGTTCTTTAATTTTCAGGAACTAGAGCATTCATCAGCACACTGACATCTAAGCCAAGAGAATCTTCTTCATTTAACAAAGATTTTCCTATATAATGTTTGGTTTTGCTCATACGAACTCAAGAGTCAAACACATATAAAGGAGGATATGTAGACTTATCTAGTTCAGTGGTTCTTAACCTGTGGGCCATGGACTACCAGTGGGCCGTGAGGATGAAAATCTGGTCTGCAAGCCTCCTTCCTCTTTATTTATTTCTGCTCCTTCTCTGTCGCTGACCATGGCACATGTTTTGCATCAGAAACTAGAGCTGATGTGGTCTATCTAATGCAATTTTCTGAATCAGCAACCCAAACCAAATCTAAAGTTGACCAAAAACTGATTCATAAGCCTTTCAGTACTAATGTTGGATAGTAGTCCCTGGTCAAAGTGGTCCTTGGTTAAGTAGTCCCTGGTCAAGTGATACCTGGTTAAAGTGATCCTTGGTCAAGCAGTCCCTGGTCAAGTGTTCCCTGGTCAAAGTGATCTCTGGTCAAAAAAAAGGTTGGGAACCACTGATCCATTTTTGCAGATTGGGAGGAATGCTGAGATTGTTGATTACCCACAATATCAAATACCCAGAGATACATAGTGTGAAGCTCTATAATTTTTGCAGAAATAACCATACCTGTTTCCATCTGCCTTTCAAGGACAGAAATGCTGTAACATGGGTCAGCAGAAATCAGACTTGCATAACTTTTCTTTTCTTGCCGAGATCCATTTATATTGAAGGTTAGAGCAGAGAACATTTGCTTAGAATCAAACAATTCTGAGCCCAGGAATTTATCGAGTGCCAGAAATGAATAGAACTTACAGTCCTCCTAGACAAAAAACACACTTCCATTTCTCTCAAGCTCCTTTCAGCTGTCTCGTGGTGGGAGGGAGGAATCATTTTGTTGCTGATATTGTTAAACATTGGTGAATCAGAAATCTGTGCTAATCTGCTACAAATTACCCAGAGATCTGCTGCAAGAGACATTGCTAGTAGCTACTCGTTTCTTGCCCACCTTTGGCCTAATATATGAATCTGCCAGATGACAGTCAAAACTGGGGTTTCCCTCAGACTTCTAATGATGCTTCAGATATAAAGGGGGCAATTTTAGATCAACAACAGCAATGAAACAAAACAATGATGCATCTTGCAAGATGTTGCATAATGAAGTGAAGTGCACCGAACAGGGAACCAGTATCAAGCTGCTTAGCAATTGAGTCCTGTGGGCTATTATGAGCAGTAATTGCACGGCATGGAGACACAATAGCTAGCCTAACTCTGCTTTGGATGGGGAATATGATGAGCACTACTTAGACCAGATGGATGCACAATAAATAGCTGCTCTCTATGCCTTTCAATTAGGATCCATGCACAATTAAGTCAAATCTCTCTGCTTTTAAAACCAGATTAAGGAGGTACATTGATAGGATCAAAATGAACGTAAGACAAAACAGTTACTAATTGGACAATCAGGGGTCCTTGTGGTGCAGTGAGTTAAACTGCTAAATTGCAGAACTTGCTGACCAGAAGGTTGGCAGTTCAAATCCGCGGAGCAGGGTGAGCTCCCATTTTAAGCCCCAGCTTCTGCCAACCTAGCAGTTTAAAAACATGCAAATATGAGTAGATCAATAGGTACTGTTTCTGCTGGAAGGTAATGGTGCTCCATGCAATCATGCCAGCCTCATGACTTTGGAGGCATCTACGGACAATGCTGGTTATTCAGCATAGAAATGGAGAAGAGCACCAACCACCAGTTGGACTCAACTAAACTTAATGTTGAAGGGAAACCTTTATCTTTACCTTAATGGGACAATTCCTGGATTTGTGGACATTATATGTCTTAATACAGATGTTTCCTGCACATGCAATCTCAGCTTGAGGTAGAGAGAAATACCTAGAGAAGAAATGATAGTTTCACATATCTTTGAAATTAGAAGTGTAGGACAGGATTTGGTAAAGAGAATCAGTTTTGAATGGCAACAGAAGGTTTGATGTGATTTTATTACCTTGTTGTCAATGTTTTTGTTTAAAAAGGCTTCTTATGCTTCATGGAAAGGCACGAATAAAAATAACAACAACCTGGACAGAGGTTTTAAACAAGCAGTTTTACGAGACCATCTCAACGGAAATGTAGAGTAGTTTCAGATTCAAACAAACAGGACACTTGTACTTTGAATAAATAACAATTTAATTACACTGGAGAAAGAAAATATGGTATGATAGTACTACATTGGTAATATTACAGAAGTACTATTCCGCTATAGGTAGTTTAATGGCAGAAGCTACTTTTAATGACAGTTTTACCAGTACTTGTGTACAAAGTAATATACAAGTTGCCAACAGAAACATATTGCAGCAGTTGCAAGGATGTTAGTTACCAGCTCAAACAAACATCGAACAATACAATATACTTCAAAGAGAAAGTAATAATGTTAGATTTACAGACATTAAAAGAGATAGGCTTTCCACTTGGAAACAATGGAAATAAAAAGCTACAGAAATCCAACTTTGCTATTTCTTATTATCATAAGGAAAGACTTTCCTTTCTCTGTCATTGCATCCCTAGAATCTTTTCCTGATGTTACAGCAACTTAACTGATGTTCTATTTTACAATTACAGACTTGGATTTGAGTTAGGCCACTGCTTGTATAGCTGACATTTGAAATGATTTTTAATTTTTTTTATTTACATACATTCACCACAGAAAAGGTTTTATTTATCATACAAGAGGCATTTTGATCAGTGCAATAAAAAGAAATCCATAGTGATTGCACAGCATTGAGGAGGTAATATACAAATATACATTAAGGTGGTGGAGAATCTAACTTGCACATAATACAGATGGTCTCTGGTACAGATATACACAACACGTCAAGTTAATAAATACACAGAATTGTTTTAGCTATGGAGCTACTCATTTCATGAGAGTGGGTGGCTGACTATAAAGCAGTGTGTGGATAAGCTGCTAGGCTATTACCAAGGGAACATGGACAATTGGAAATAGCTTTATCTAAAGGAAGGTTTCTTGCTGCAGTTAAAGAGTTTCAAAATGAAGAAATACAGTTCTCTGTGCTGCAAATGGACATGAGAATTATCTTGTTGGGTCAGTGTGAAGCTCACTGAGATGAGTGTTCAGTCTCCAGCAGTGACCAGGAGATGACTCATGCACTATGGAAGGTCAGAGCAGGACATTCACTGGAGATAGGGCAGCGCAAGGGGAGAAATAGTCAGGGCAGTGGGGTCTAGTCAGGTGTGCAGTAAGTAGTCAGTACAGTCCTCCCTCCACATTTGCCGATCTGATGTTTGTGGATAATTCACTGATTGGATTAGAACTGTTCTAAGAAAACTCAAGGGCCCTTCCACACAGCCCTATATCTTAGACTATCAAGGCAGGAAATCCCACATAATCTGAGTGTGGACTTAGATATCCCAGTTCAAAGCAAATATTGTGGGATTTTCTGCCATGATACTGGGATATAGGGTTGTGTGGAATGGACCCCAGTGATTCTGACCTTCAACAACACATTTTTCTAAGAATCTTTAGGTCTTCCACTCTGATTCTATGGTCAACTTCCCCATCATGCCAGGGGACCTAGAGATTTCTTGAGAGAACACCTCTAGGAATTTCTAAATCTTCCAATGCAATTCAATAGTCAGCTTCCAGTGGAAATTGGCTATAGTGTTGTTCTGGAAGACCTGGGACCATTCCACACAGTCATGAATCTCAGAATATCAAGGCAGAAAATCCCACAATATCTGCTTTGAACTGGGTTATCTGAATCCACACTCAGAAAATGTGCGATTGATATCAATGTGCCTTGATATTCTGGGATATAAGGCTGTGTGTGGAAAGGCCCCAAGAAATTCCATGAGGGATGTTCTCTCACATAGAAAATAACAATTTCTTTATTGATGGTTTTTCACTTTCATACGGGCCATGTGCGTCTAACCTTAGCAAATTTGGAGGACTGATTGCAATCTCATCCTATACACATATATACATAACCATGCCTTTGGGCATCTGCTAGGGCAACCAAGGTAAGAAGCTTGCAGGGTGCCATGAATGGCCAGCAGTGCCCTGTTTTGTTTTGTTTTGTTCTCAGCCCAGGAAGAAGCAGATACAAAGAAAATAATATTTTAAAGAGAGAAACATGGGCCACAAGACGCTTCAATGGCCCAGTTAATAGTGATATAGTTTGCAGAAAAGCCTTAATTGAAAGAGACCAGAAATGAAAACTGGAATATGTGAGTACATTTTAAGCTCTATAATATACATAATATTATTTGTTGAAAGGAGAGTAGTCTTGCACTAATTGCATTGCTTTGAAGGGATGAGAGTGGAAGTTTGTACTGAATATACCTTCCTAAGCATTTTTACAGCCTTGAGGAAAAAGCTAAAGTATCTAAAGTAAAGCAGTGGAGTATCTAACAGCAGTTATATTTAGCATTCATTTTGAAGGGTCTTCATAGCTAGATGAGTTGAGAAATGGTGGTAGGACAATATCCACAGTTATACAAGTTTTTTTTAAAAAAAAAATTAAAACAAACAAAAAAACCTGCACATATGTAAATGAAATATATTGAACACTACATTATAGTATTTCACAGGATGTTGTTTCTTATTATATCAATAAGCACCATATTTAGTGCCAAGACAGCCCCATTGTCCCATAGTTTATTTTAATTACATAAAGTTAAGATCTTAGATACACAAACAGAAACCCATACAAGTAACAACTAAAGTCACAAAAAGACATTTAAAGAAATGGCTCTGGATTTACCCTTCCATTGTCTTTTGGATTTTCTTATCTGCTTGATGTTTGATGGTTAAAGGAAGAGTTACAATATATATAGCCCACAGTGGACATAGCAGCAGCATGTAGAGCAGTGGTTCTCAACCTGTGGGTCCCCAGGTGTTTTGGCCTACAACTCCCAGAAATCCCAACCAGTTTATCAGCTGTTAGGATTTCTGGGAGTTGAACACCAAAACATCTGGGGACCCACAGGTTGAGAGCCACTGGTGTAGAGGAATAACAGGAGTCTTTGTTGTTGTTACTTCCTCAGTGTTTGCACACCTGAAACACAACGTGAATGACTAATGGGAAAGGTGGGGGCTGGACAGACCTGAGAAGGTAGGATAGGTCCTTCCATTCCTTGTAATAGCCCATTCTGTCGTGTCTTTGTGTGCCATTATGCCTCATAGTTAGAGGAGAACTTTTGGTGGGGGTAAAATGAAGAGATTGTATCCCAAGAGGAATTCTTCCATCCCAATTAATTTGTTTTTGGTCCCCAAATTTCTAGCATTGCAGAGAATCAGACACTGAACATTATTCACATGTAGAACTCTTTGCCTTGCCTGCCCCTTTGCTTTGGATGCATCGAGTGTGTCTCTTAAATGTTAAACTGAATTATTACTGCAATGCTAGAATTTTGGAGTCTGAGGGAACATTTAATGGAAGGCCGCAGAATTCTTATTGGAGTAAATTCTCACATTCAAAATTCTTATTGCGCAATATATTCCCACCACATTACTGCTACCTCGCTGCTTGTAGATATCCTTCTGAACAGGTGTTGCAACTAAGGTAATCTTGAATTAAGCCCAGAACATTCAGTCTCAGGAGATACTTAACTAATCATCTGGTACTACCATTAAAAGAGTGGGAATTCCCACTCTTACTAAAAGGAACAACTAAGATCAAACAAACTAGTTCAAGCGTAAATTGTGGGTAGGTTTCAATAGGTCCGGAGAGCTGGGTGGCCACCTTGACATCTTCTGCTGGACTGCCTTCAGTGGAAGGAAAGCCCCATCCATAATACACAGCTGCCCTCATAGCAGAAATAATGACATATCCTCCCCTTTGTTTTGAACAAGTAGTGGGGCACAGTCTGATTTGAAATATTTCTCCCCCTCCTCCCATGAATTGTCATACCATGTCTCTAGCACAAGCAGTAATCCTGCTCTCAGGTACTGTTTGACAATATGTTTACCCAAAACAGAAACTATTCTCCATCTCATCTTGCTCTACTTAGTTCTATTTCACAGGACAGATTAACTAGTAGATTAGGCAATGTTCTCACCAGGAAAGAGTTTTTTACATTCTGTAGGTGACTGGCTACCTTGTATAGCTGAACACGGAGTTACACTAGGGATGGGGACCATGAGGCTTACGAGACGTAGGCTTCTGGTTTACAAATCCTGCAGCCTTAACAAGCATAGCCAAGAGTGAGGAATACTAGGAGTTACTATCCAAAGCATCTTAAGGGCCACATTATTTCTACTGTGTATCTCTTCCACTGCCCTGTGTTTTTGTCTCCCAACAGAAACGGAAGATTCCCCAGAATCTCTGACAAGGAGCAGTCAATGGCTGTGGCCTGCTAGTGATTTATGAGTATGCACATTTCTTTGTGTATTTTTGGCAGAAGGATATTCTCGTGTCATTCCACTTCATCCAAAACAACCTCATATCTGACAGCTGTCAATCCCTGGAGTGTGGCTTCTGCAATTTACTAGGAAGAAGAGAATTCGGACCATGAAGATCCAGCAACTAGTCAAAGTAAAATGAATGCACCCTCATCTCTTCTCCTTCTCAACTGAATTGGGACTGGCTACATCTCTAGTGTCTGAATTGCCTCCAACTGCATATGTAAAGCTACACATTGAATTAAATGCAGAACCAAGGCACTCATATTGGTAGACCAGCAACTGTAACTTGTCCCTATGATGTAAATAAAAGAGGGAAGGGCGAATTAGAGTGGACCGGGGAATTAGAAATTTGACATGAATAATTCTGGAAACAGAATTACCCCCACCAAGTTCATTGCCAAGTTCAGGGTCAAGTTTACGGCCATATTCATGGCCAGGTCCAGAGTGTATTCAGTGATTAGATTGGGGGTGGGGTGGAATTATTGATTATTGATAGGTAACAGTAATAAAAGTTTTCCTTAGTTAGCCAAATCACATGTGTGGCCTCTTCATTTGTGGTGGTGCGGCAAGATTGCACTCTCCTGCAGAAGAAACAGGAGGCCAGCTAGACCTCAGAGCGGCTGCCTTCTGTTCACCTGTCAGAGGGAGGGAGAGAGGGGGAGCCCTGGCATGCTTTCTAGTGTCACACTAATGCCTGGAAGGTGCCTGTCTTGGAAGGACTATTGGGGATTCTTGCCTTCATGTTTGCATTTGTTGTTCTTTATTTGTTTTTCTGCACTTTTTAATGCTTTAAGAGAAGCCTCCCACAGGATGGTAAAACATCTGGGTGTCCCTTGGGCAACGTCCTTGCAGACAGCCAATTCTCTCATACTAGAAGCGACTTGCAGTTTCTCAGGTTGCTTCTGGCACAGATTTCAATGCCCAACTTAGAAACAAGAACAGTATAAATTGTCCAAGGATATAAGAAACAGGGATCCAGAATGGGAAACTTCCTATGCTGCAACTTCCTATGCTGCAGTCCCTCATTGATTAAAAAAGGTATAACAGATTGGAAGTTTTTGTTTGATCAGGGTGACCTTGTTTTCAGACTGATATAATATAAATAATGGATAAATATTTATAATGATTCTTCAAATACAATGGTAGTTCAGTTTTCATCTTCTGCATCCTTAATTTTTACAGAGATTTGGTGCATCTTGAACAGTTTCTCTGCCATGTTGCTTAATTCCAGTCTAATTCTAACACTTATGAATGCTTCTTTAAGTTTCATTCACCTGTTCACAGTGATAGTATTCTTTCAATCATTTTGTAAAGCCTAGGGCTAAAAACAACAAATCAATTAATCACTAAGTGCCATAGCACAATGACCTCCTTAACTAATATGGCTGCTACTAATACAAATGTGTCATTTTTGTTGTTTATAAGATTGGGGTTTTAGTATGGATTTATGTTAAAATGTTATGTATTTTTATTATTGATTGATTGGAAGAACTCACTTTTTAGAAACAGAATTTATGTGCAAAGAATGCAACAAGAAAAAGATTGAAAACATTTGGTCACAATTGTCTTATCTTAATAACATCAATGTAACACTTACTTGGTATATACACACAGCACACACAAATATACAGATACCACTTAATTATATATACACATGTTAAAAAGTCTAATACTTATACTTCATCCTCTTGCTTCCGAAGACTGATATTTGGCATCCCAAGTTTCAAATAAATTAAAATGTGGGACTCAAGAATGTAACACATTTCAAGTATACATCACAGTGATAACTTTGTGTGTTTAATAGGACACGTGTTGTCTTCGGAGTTCCAGCATTAGCAACAAACCAACAAAAGTTACCAGTGGCCGAACGCCTTCCCTTTTGGTTTCCAACAAGAAACCAACTATCCATTACAGTAAAGCTGTTCTTTCCTCATCTAAACCAGTGTTTCTTTTTCTTTTGCAAAGTTAGTGTAAGTACCCCAAGTTGCTGTTATTTCTGTATTTACAAGAGTTTCAAAACTTAATAGGGATTTCAAACGTGAGCAGAAGAAATACAAAGCCTTTCCTTTGAAGTTCACTAAAAACCACTAAGAATGTAAAAATTCCAAAATACCTCATAGGACTTCTTCAAAATACAGGAAGTACTTTCATGGTAGAAGGAGGGTTTTACATCATCACATAGTTTACATTACTTTCACGCAAGTCTACCTAATCACTTTTAGACAATATTATTAACAGACAATAAAACATCATAGGTCTCACAAGACGTAGTACAAAACTTTTACAATCCAGTACTGCCGCTTTTGGGGTGGGGCGGGGGTGAGAAAATCTACTTACAAACAACGCATTTCACACCAGAAATAAAACTACAATTATACATAGTTGGTTTTGATTACATTGTTGTACGCATCTCAATTTGCAGTAAGTTTCTATATGTTTATAGATTTTTTCCCCTCATTGATCAACTGGATGCTTTTATATATGGCAATAGGATTAGTTATCACCACTCAATTAATGTTTGGTCAATAGAAAACCTATTTTTGAAAATACAGGTCCAAGTCCTTGTTTATTTTTTTAAAACCTGGAAGGGGATACTGCTCTGAACTAAAAAAACTAACATCAAAACACAATTGTTTAAAAGAAAAGGGGGGGGGGTAACATCTGAAAAACGTACACTTCTATAGTAATGAATTTCTCTTACTTTCTCTTGTTTTGTGCTCTCATGATGCCGAGAGACTTTTGGTTTACAATGCCTCTGCTGTTGTGTCTGAGGAGACAGACATGGTCACTTTGGCAATCTTAACTGTGTTTTTAATACACCTTTCAGCAGCCTTGTGGACATTACCTGGGTTGTTACCATGTCTGTGCTGGCAGTCAGACTCCAAGCTGTTATCAAGAGGCTGTGCAGTCCCCACACACGGTGGAAACATGCTCCTGAAAGCATGTCTCAAGTCCTGGCTCCTGAGAGCGTAGATAATGGGGTTCACTGTGGAATTCATGAGACACAGCATGCTACAGAAGGCAAAGATAGTCTTCACAAGCTTGTTCATCTTCCCAAAGACATCGTAGAGCATGATTGCAAGCAGAGGACCCCAGCAGATGATCAAAACCACAAGAATGAGGACTAAGGTTTTGGCTAACCTGATGTCCATACGTGTTTGTTCAGGCCTGGAGACCTGCTGCACTTTACCATCCTCTGAAGTGTGAATGATCATGCTCTTTTGAGTGCCACGCTGAATCATCCTGACAGCATGGCTATGAGCCTTCCAGAGGATGTACATGTAGGCATAAACAATAAAAAGCAAGAGTACAGTGGTGACACCGATCCAGAACAACAGATAGTTCTCGTCAATCAGTGGAAATATGTCAGAACAAACAGAATTGAGCATTTTGCAGTTCCAACCAAGCAGAGGAAGGACCGCTATTACAATAGAAATCGTCCACATCACACAGAATGCTACAACAGCCTTTGATCGGGTAACAATCCTTTTGTAGGATAAGGGCCTGTGTATAGATATGTACCTGTCTATCGCAGTGAGGAAAAGGCTGCCAACTGAGGCTGTGAACGAAGCTGTAACTCCACCTAATTTGAACAAGAAAACATTGGGACTGTCTTTTCGATGGAAAACATGGAAGTCAACAAAACTGTAGACAAAGATGACACTGCCAAGGAGATCAGCTACTGCCAGGCTGCTGATGAAATGATAGGAAGGCCTACAGCGAAGGCTTCGGGAATGCAGGATGACAACCAAGACCAGGAGATTTTCCAGAACAGTGAAGGTGCCTAGGGTAAGTGAAAGTACTGCAATGGCCAGCTGTTGGCTTGGGTTCAGAATCATAAAGCACTCCATATCCATGAAGTTATCTCCACACTGTATATTATCCTCATTTTCCTTGAAGGTTGACAAAGTCTTGTTGTAAAAATCTGTAAGATTGACCTGATCTGCCGGGTGCACGCCCAAAACAGCATCTTCTCCTGCAGTCATTTTAGGTCGGAAATCACCTCGAAAAGAAGACAGAGGAAATTTCTGTGGGTAATATCCTAACTTGGAAGCCATGTCGCTTTTAAAATCTTCGTACTGGATATCGTTAGAACCCATGTAAAGAAGATCTGTCGTAATTGTTCTGAAGGTCGTATCTGCGAGGCCATCTAGGACTGACTTCATAACCCCAGATGTCAGTTATGTAGGCTTTCGGGGAAAGTATGTGAGGCAATCCTGGCAGAGAGGGGAAAAGATCAAATTTAATTAAATCTTTGCAAAGTTAGAGAAGGTTATCTAGCTATCTAAATAGGCTATTTATTTATAGCTCAGTGATGCCCAATAATGCCTCTGTCTTTCTCAGTGTTGAATCAGACTCCCACGTTTATGAGAGATAAACATTCATTCAGCTTCAGAATGGCAAGAACATAATGCATGGCTATGCAATAAAAAGACTGAATAATCAGGGGGAAAGTGTAGGAAAATACATTAACAGTAATTAACTTCCTCTAACTAGTTCTGCTAGATGCATTTTGTAAAAAAAACATTCCCCTCCCGCCCACGATTCTATCTCATCTCCTCCATTTTAAAATTTAATCAGACCAATGGCTGCTACAGAAGATTAAAACAACTGAAGATTTTTAATTGCATGATTCCACCACCTTGAAAAGTTTAGAGCTCCTGACAATGGCTGTGCTGAAGCTGTACAGTTGCATTAATTGTCCATCTCCTCAGTGTTGTATAGGGAGCTCTTTTTAGAGAGCTTAAAAGGTTATACGTGGTTCAGCTGGGAAACTTACTGAAAGGTCATTTCATTGTATAACTCATGGGCTTTGCTACTAATGAGCATGTGCCTCTGGATTGTACTCTGACATTATCATAGTTATCAAGCACTACAATTTAAACAATGCTTGTAGGTGAAATGTGTGATGCCTGCTTCTTCACTGAGTTGCAACAATCAACATTTTAACAACACTAAGCAACAAAAGTTTGTTCTGCAACTAAATTGTGTCAATATGCTCATTTTGTTAGCAGAATTACTCACATGAACATTATAAATTGTGAAAATTAGTCTCACATAAATATTTACTTAATATTTGGTGTTCATGTAATGATTCCCAAATGTGTAAAAATGTTGAAAAGCAATGTGACAACTTTTCAGTCAGCACAACCTGCTAAAACTCTAGGATATAGATCATGGAAGGCTTCCAGAAATATCAGCTGACCAAGTATTTTACAATTTCTCAACATCTGCACTCAATCATATGAAAAAGTTAATTGTGAGTATGAAACAGTACATCATCTCTGGTTCTACATCCAATCATCCTAGGTTTATATCTTGGGTAAGGAACTTCTTCTTCCTAAACTAAGAACTCATATCCCAGAACAGGATTGTTGGAAACACTGATCCATCACTGGAGGCTCATCTACACTGGGCAGATTGCACCAGTATGAAAATGCCCCAAATCTGGCATGTCTGTGCTGAGTTGGAGGCTGTTGTTTACACATCTGAGGAACACAGCCACTCTGTTGCTAGGAGGAGGTGTACATTCTCCATGCAAGTTCTTGGTCATCATGGGCACCTTGGCTGACATCAGGACAGGACAGCAGCATGACCAGTATCTAAGAGGGGGCAATTCCTCCCTTCTCCTTCCTAGTCACACGAATGACTTCGGCAGATGCTCATACGACCAGGAAGGAAGGGAGATCACTTTGTTATGCAGGCACCTCTGCATGATCAGGAAGAATGAATGGAGATTGTGTGGGTGCCCTGTTCTGATATCCTTTCTCCCTGCACTGATCTAACTGTCCAGACTGCCCCATAGCCATGCAATACTCCAGAATTTGCTGGAAAATGTGGTACATCCTTTGTCTTTCCCTTAAGCAGGGCAAGGTTGGTTTAGACAAAAAAAAATCATTGGATTCACTGGAAGTAGCTGCACACCATGAAGATAGCTATCCTTTAATCTGAGGTTTTTGCTAGTTTAGACAAACCCGAGTTTTAGCAATATAGCAGCAACAAGGGCCACTTTATAGTGCATTTCCAATATAAATCAAGGCAAGCCGCAATGAAGAGCGGTTGAAAAAGCTGGGCATGTTTAGCCTGCAGAAGAGAAGGCTGAGAGGAGACATGATGAGGACCATGGATAAAATATGTGAGGGGAAGTCATAGGGAGAAGGGATAAGGATTATTTTCTGCTGCCCTGGAGACTAGGACATGGAACAATGGTTTCAAACTACAGGAAAGGAGATTCCACCTGAGCATGAGGATGAACTTCCTAACTGTGAGAACGGTTGTGCCCTGGAGTGTGATGGAGGCTCCTTCTTTGGAAGTTTTTAAACAGAGGCTGGGTGGCCATCTGTCGGGGCTGCTTTGAATGTCATTTTCCTGCTTCTTGGCAGCGGGGCTGGACTGGATGGCCCACAAGGTTTCTCCCAACTCTGATTCTATGATGTTATATGTAAGACACATATCCTTTCTTTTAAAACCGATTTCTGGAAGCAGAAACCTGCTTTCAGAAAGCATCCATAGTTTTTGCACCCTAATTTAAATGTGAACTTAACTGAAAATGGAAATAACTGAGGAAGGAAATAACTGAGGTTTTTGGCTACTGAGGAAGGACTTTTGAAGATGAACACTGTACTTTTTACAAACATGTTTTAATGCTTTCAATTTAGTTATGTTTTAATGTTATAGTCTGTTTATACATTATACAATATATAATATTTATATTATGACTTAATTCATAATTAATTTGTATTTGCATCCAGATTGGCTGGTGCATCCACTGCCATGATGGGCAGGGAGAGGATTCAGTCTCATTTTTACAGCCACTTGTCTTGCAGCTGCTCCAGGTTGTACAGGAGCCATCCAAATGCTGGGGACCACTCCCAGCAGAGATTTGGCACAAAGTATGTAGAGCAGCTGCATGGTTAGGAGTGAATTTGCCACTCTCCCCCCTCCCCCCCGGTAGCAAAGTATTTACCAGCCACCTCTTTATATCTGCTTTTCCCACCTTAAATCCCATTTTGAGAGAAAGATAAGATCAAAATAAAAAATAGCAGTTTGTGCCTCTTGACAATCATACAGCCCATGCATCACCCTTCTGTTATTTATATGGGTGTAGAATGGGAAGAGAAGATCCAACCAGTCCATCCTCCAGGAAATAAAGCCCGACTGCTCACTGGAGGGAAAGATACTAGAGACAAAGTTGAAGTACTTTGGCCACATCATGAGGAGACAGGAAAGCCTAGAGAAGACAATTATGCTGGGGAAAGTGGAAGGCAAAAGGAAGAGGGGCCGACCAAGGGCAAGATGGATGGATGGCATCCTTGAAGTGACTGGACTGACCTTGAGGGAGCTGGGGGTGGTAACGGCCGACAGGGAGCTCTGGCGTGGGCTGGTCCATGAGGTCACGAAGAGTCGGAGACGACTGAACGAATGAACAACAACAACAAAGAATGGGAAGAGACATGCTATCCAAACAACTTGCATCATCATCTCAAGTCCTCTATGAAAAGAAAACCCAACCAATTCTCCTTGATAAAAGTAATGAAGTATTTAAAAACCCCTATTGAATTTATAAATAGTACAATTATAAAGAGGCAGGTTGAGTGTTTGATTAGGACACTAGGAGACCAGGATTTGAATTGCCACAAAGCCAATGAAAGTCAATCGGTAACCTTGGGCAAAGATCCACTATCTCAGCTTCAGAGGCAAAGGTGTTGAGGCTAAGTCTCAACAAAAGGTGACCCCTGACCCCTTGAACAAATTCTGCCAAGAAATCCCTGTGATGGATTGCCATAAGTGAGATTGCCATAAGTGAGAAATAGGATTGCCATAAGTGAGAAACTACTTAAATGGACACAACCCCCAAAATAAGCATAAAGCGACAACAGAAGTGTAGAAACTCATATTCACCTGCAATTCTTTTGCCATTAATTCACTTTATTTATGTAATATATAAACCATTCCACTAACAGAATGTGTTTTCCAAGTACATTTCAGTACTTGGACTAGGTGCCTAATGTTACTACAGGGATCAAGTGTTCTTCACTCAATGAAGCAAACAACCCATTTCCTTGTTCACTGCATCACCATATCTTCCTATCTTAAAGCACTACAGCATAGCATACACATACCTCTTGAGATCCTGGCTATTCAAGTCCAAAGTTCCACTTTCCGATTTAACCAAAACATTTAGTGCAGCTGCATCAATATTTAGAGACAACTTGATTCCACTGTTTAAAAAGTGTGTGTGAGAGAGAAATCACAAGCTTTTTCTTCAAATATTTTTCATCATAGACTTAAGATAAAAAGCTGGTTACCCATGGATCAGAGCCCAAGAATGATTACTGTAAGGACTAGAAGACACAGCTGTGTTAATATAGATCTGTATAACACTAGTTAATACTCTAAATGACCATAGCTAAAACTAAACTTGTCTTCCATGACGTCATGATAGCTGGATAGCAGGATCAAGTCTGATTTGTTCCAATCACTGTCAAGACTGAATACTGGCAGCATCACCTTTTTCTGTCACTCATCAAGAAAGGGGATGTATTTTACCACAGCTGTTATTAGCCAGGCATGGAGCTCAGCTGCAGAAGCCATATGATCACAAAGAAAGAAGAGATAAACCCCCTCCTTCCTGACGATCATTTCTGTGATCTGTTCTGATACCAGCCGTGCACCTACAATGGCCAGGAGCACAGTGGCTGGCTAGGAACGGTAGTGGTTGTAGCACAGAGAGGTGGGCTGGATGCTGTCCAGTGCAGCAGATGCACTCCCACAGTGTCTTGACAATGGCCTCTGGTTTCGCATGCACTGGGACACCTGGCTAAACCAGTAAAAATATTAGCAGTAATATGGAAAGGATTATAGTTTGTGAGTAATCTGAAATTATATTTCATTGCTTTGACTTGAGTTGCAAATGTTTGGTTTTGTATACATATGTGTTAGTATGGTATTTGCATATAAGAAAACTTATTTTATATTTATACATATGTAAGTTTTTTCTTTAAAAATTAAAAAGTAGAAAAATGTTCAAAGGATGCTGTCAATAACGCCTGTTATAGATAGATTTTATATCTGAATAACAAGAATTCCTTGAGCACCCTGAATGTTTTGTTTCTACAAATGTGCATGATGAAATGTTAGCATATTAATGCTATTATACATTTGATACACATATGCAGCAAGTCAGTGTGTAACAATTGGGGTTTCTGCTTACCCC